ATTACTCATACCAATTAGATTTATTATAATTGCATCCAAGAAGATTTCTCTTCTTTTTTTCTTTTTTTTTTTAAATTTGTTCTTCCTAGATATACAGGACAGTAAAGATGATTGCTTTTCTACTGAAGTTCATCAGACCCAACCTTGTGAAGCAATTTGCTGCCAAGAGTACCATCATCACCCAATATAATGAACTCTACCTTGAAATTGTTCATTCAAGCAGGCCATCAGTAAAAAACAAATGCTGAGCAGCCTCTCAATTCGTTCCCTCCTCTTTCAGCCCTGCCACTGCTTCTTCAGATCTAGAGGCCAAAGTCATGGACCAATCACTCCTGTGTCAAGAAGGCTCTGGAATCTACATAGTGACAGTAAGATCCCAGTTGCCTTTGTCACTGAGCTTAGAAGATTCTGGGAAGTGGTTCCCCCTTCTGTCCTCAGCTGGGAGAACCCCTGGTTGGAAAGCCTAAAATATAGGCCATGGGGGCTGCTATATTGGGTCTCCTTCCACCCAGACACTTGCCTAGCACCATAGAACCATCCCTAGTTCTACCTGCCTGCCTTTCCAGAACCCTATGCCCATGTCACCAAAGAACTCAAATTCATCCTCAGGAGAGTGCCATGCTGCAAAGCAACCAGACAGTCGCCTGACCTGGCAGCTTCTCTTGGTCAAATCCATATAGTCCTAGAGACAGGCTCCCCAGAGACATGCAGACTTTTAAACCTGATCCATGACCACTGAATTCTAGGAGTACTGAGTGTTCAGATTGGTGGATTTTGTTTTTACTTCTGTTCCAGAAAAATGTAAGATGTATCACTTACCAAAGTCTCCTTGTTTACTTTCTAATAGGCAATTGATGTTTTTGTATAGGCTCTCATGAATATTTGGTTCTCTTGATCAACAGGAGACGAATGAAGAGAGAAGAGAGGATGGAGGAGTGCTGCAAGCCATAGGAGACAGAGCTCTGATTCTGAGCTGTGCTGTGGACTGGACATCAGAGCCTTAGAGATGGTCTCCTTTGGTGGACAGAGGTATGGAAGGTATCCAGGGAGGGTGATGCAAAGGAGCCCCAAATTTTAGCCTCAAACAAATATATCCAAGTATAGGAAACAAAGTGTGGGATGGTAGGAGTTCCTTAGCTGGAAAATGTGTCTCTTTGCACAATATCTGTATCCTGCATCTACCTAAGGAAGGGCCTGGAGTCTTCAGTGTCTAAGATAGCCACAAGGCTGTCCCTGACCAGCACAGCTTCTCTCAGACACTAGCATTTCTCAGAATGGTGTCACTGAGATCCAGTTTAATACCAACCAGGGAGAGGAGGTCCTAGAAAGCAGTATGTCTGCCTCTGGTCCCTGGATCCCTGTGGTAATGAGTTAACCTATATAGAAAATGTACAAATGTCTCTAGTTAAACAATGTATTTCTTGATGGAAAGGCTTACACAGAAGAAAACCTGTAAAGTATCTA